CACCATTTCAGCTGTGAAGATTCCTGTAAATACCTTGAAGAATAAAATTTAATGTGATGTGAGATAGTCAGTTTAAGGTTACTAATAACCTTAATTAATGGCAGGCCAATTAAAACCTGTTAATCATGCTTTGCTGTTATTTAAAGTTACAGTTACTTTTTTCTGATGCTAATGTACTTAAATGACTTTAAAAAAAAAAAGAACGCTTTTGTAGAGCTGTGCAAGGATATGCTTTCTAACGCAAGCCCAGAAAAGGAAAAAACAGTGATACTTTGCAATAAGGCCACTTGTTACAGTTAATGCATTAGCTAACATGAAATAACAACGAGCAATAGAGTTTTCATTTGATACAGTATTAATAAATCTTTGTTAGCATTAGTTCATTTAACGTTAGTTCATGTTAGCTCAGGTCAATGAAAAACTATTAATAGAAAACTTTTGATTTTCTAACGTATTAGTGATTGTTGAAATTAACAGTTACTTGGATTAATACATGTTTTAGAAGTATTTTCATATTAATGTTAACAAATGGAACCTTTTTGTTACCAAAATGCACTTATGCAATGTATTACAGTTGCTGTTTACACAGTGCTTCTGTTATTTTGTTAAGCTTCATATTGATTTGAGGTTCCATTCTGATTTATGCTGGTTTGGTGCTGATTTCCCTGATTTTCTTCTTTTTTTTTTTTGGTTAACCAGCATGGCTCACACGACACGACCAGAGCCGTCCTTAGGGGGGGGGGCAACGCGGGACCCACGTCAGCTAAGGACGGCCCTGGACACAACCATATTTTTTCAAGACACAACTTGCTATGCTATACATTTTAAACTGGGTAAATACTCAAAGATTCATATTTTGACAGTTATTTGACAATAAACCGTAAGAATTGATGTAACACTAACCAAGTTGCCCACTAAGAGAACATGTTCGAAATCCGGACTCATGGGGTAGTGCTCCATGGCCATGAAAAGTGTGTTGAGCACAATACAGATGGTGATACCTAGATCCACAAATGGGTCCATCACTACAAAATGAACCCACTCCTTAAATATGATCCAGGGAGTGCAGCAGTCCCATTTAAAGAAAATATCAGCAAACTTATACCAGCCAGGGGGACAAGGCCTCTGAGCATCTTCCAAATCTAGGGAGACAAAGAGAGATGGAAAACAATATCTGAACAGTTTTCGTTTACAGTGAGCAGTGAATGAACACCGGCAGAGTGACAGCAACAAGTTCTGTCTGTCTAAAGTCAACCCATGGCTCTGAAATAGCCCAACGATTAGCACCACTCATATGAAGTTAACAGGTTTTTCTCCACACACAATGTACCTGAACTTTGCTTAGGATAAATCTCTATCTCCAGGACAATAGACACTCTCAGGCTGTTCTGTAAGACCATGTTTCAATAATCTAGGATATTGGACTTTAAATAAAACTTCAGGGACATACAAACTGCCTGTCTAATCCCACTGTATTTACATCCCCACTACTAGGACTTCACAATAAATAGTTGTGGGTATTCAGCATGTCTTTGATCATGTTATGGCTATAAATGCATTTACTGTTGGGCCTGTGTAGTTCATGGCAATATTAATCATTGATGTTTGATTTTAAGCATATTTTAGTTTACTTTTGTATGCCAAACAATTTTGGTCCTGATATTCTGGAGCATCTGGAGTAGCACAATAAATGGAAAAACTCAAGTTTTTTAGACATGCTCTTTAGTGGCAAAGCTACTTAATAAGGTATCCAAATGAACATTATTTTAATTTGCAGTTAATAAGCCCTCGAGGACTTTCTTCCAGCTAGTACCCTCCATAGTTGCAGTGACCACACTGATAGCACTAGCTGTTCTCTTGGAGAGTTTGGGCTCATCCAGGTACTGCATGCTGTGTTTGGAGCTCATGGACTTGTGGTCCTCTTCAGCTGATAACTGGAGCATAAATGAAACAGTGCAGATGTCATCATAATGACAAAACATGGTAAAAGCTTTTTAAACTTTGCAAAGATTTCAATTACTAAATGACCAGAAAAGAGACGTATTTACTATTCAGTTATTACAATGAGCTCATAATGAATCTGAACAAATACTTCGAGTCTGTGCATGCATGTATGCATCAAAAGCTCATTAGATAATGAGAAACATACATTCTGTCAAGTTAAAACTTGTGACTGGATGTGTATATCTAATACACTAATCAGAGGTGTAAAAAGTACTGAGAAATTGTACTTATGTTAAAGTGCAGATACTACTGTATGTCAAACATTTTTACTCAATTGAAACTCTAAATACCTACCCCAAAAAGTGAAAGTAAAAAAGTATCCACATTTACGTACTGGTCACACTTTAGTTTGGGGACCAATTCTCACTATTAACTAACTATTAACTATGACTTGCCTCAATAAACTCCTAATTTATGGTAGTTGTTAATTTTAGGGATCTAAGATATGGTCATGCAGAATAAGGCATTGATATGTGCTTTGTAAGTACTAATAAACAGCCAATATGCTAGTAACATGCATGCTAATAGGCAACTACTTAATAGTGAGAATTGGTCCCTAAAATAAAGTGTTACCATTGTACTTAATTATTAAAAAGTTGAAAAATTCTAAATTTTTGTAAAATAAAATGTGTAAAGAAACCTGTCAAAATGTACTAAAACTCTATTTTCAAAAAAAAAAATCAATATTCTGAAAACCTGTTACCTGAGTATTTACTTTAATAGTACTTTTAGGTCTTTGTAAAATTGATACGAAATAGAAAAGTATTATTTTTACCTTGTAAATGTAACTGAATAAAAATACAGATTCCCTAAACAATACTTAAGTATAGTAGTGAAGTACTATTACTCAAATACTTCACACCTCGGACACCAATAATATGTTAAAATACTCCTGTTGTCAAAGTTATATCACCTCTTTGTTAAAGGAGGCTCTGTTGACGACAAGGCAAGGCACTATTCGGCCGTTGCAGTCCTCTATTACATTATCACCACCAAGACTCTGCAGGGAACCTGTCCTGTTTGACCCTCGACTTTGTGTTGTCTGGCTGGCCAAAGATGCTTTTCTGCCTGCCTGTAATTTGTGATTTAAATAAACAACTACATATCAACATATCAGTGTAACTTGTATCAATATAAATCAATGAATAATAAATGCTTGGGGTTGTGACATGCATTACATTGTGAATCTGAGGTAACACTATAGTCTTCAAACTCTTTAAATAATTTAACCGTGTTTTTAAAGTGAAATCATATGGTAGTCACCTGACCTCTTGCTCTTGGTTCCTGAGTTGCTCNGGTTCCTGAGTTGCTCAAGTAATCTTTGAAACTCCTCTTCTTTCTGATTAGCTTCAGCCAAGGTGGCTTCATTCTGCTCGTCATATGCCATCGCAACCACAGCCAAGATCAGATTGATCAGGTAGAAAGAGCCCAGGAAGATGACCACCACAAAGAAGATCATGTATGTCTTCCCAGCAGCACGAAGGGTCTAAACAAGATGGAAATGGAATTTAATTTGCATATACTATTCCAACAGATAAACAGACATAAAAATGACTAGTTAACGGACCAACTGAAAGAGATTCTCCCAATAGTCCTGAGTCATGATTCTGAAGAGGGAGAGAAATGCCCAGCCAAAGTTGTCATAGCTGGTGTTGCCATAGTTTGGGTTTCGTCCAGCCTTCATACACGTGTAACCTTCTGGGCACCTCCTTTTATTACATGAGACAACAAATCTCATTAATCTTAATTTTTTTCATACATAAATCTGTGTTGCTTTTATGGTGTATTTCACTCACCTAGCTATTGGAAATAACTGAAAGCACCTGATATTACACAGCCTATATTAAATGACAAGCA